TTATTTATTAGTTAATGAATAAAATCATTTTATAAAAAAAAGTGTTTTATTTGAATGGTCAAAATTCGGAAAAAAAAGCAGGTCAAACAGAAAAACACTCGAAATTAGAAAAAAAAGGACAAAATATGTCTCATTTTATAGAAAATAGAGATTTGAAAACCACATATTCAGTCAAACAAAGCATTTGAAGATACATTTACATTCAATTTGAGATCCATCCGTTTAATCATAACCCTTTCGAACGGAGGTCTTTAACAGGGTGTCTGCGACCCTTCAGGGGTCCTCGGAGGAACTATATAGTTTTGGTTGATTAGGCTTTTATATTCCCCCCCTGCAATTTTTTTCTACTAATTGAAATGTCTTTAAATACACAATAAAATTCTAAGTCTTATTAGCTCAATATACATTCATAATTTAGGAATATTACATATTTTTGACTTAATTTAAGTTAAAATTACAATTTTCTCTAAAATCCGACTTAGAACTCAAGAAAAAAGGATAAATTCAGCTGTAGAATTAGAGCAATTTGTTTTGAAAAAACATTTAGCAAATGAAAACTGGGATCCTATCACCTTATTGTTTTTAAATAATTAGTATTTGTAAAGAAAAAAATGAAATAGATCCAAAGGACCTATCAGTAACCATATCTGTTCCAGTGCATAGCATTACTAGAATTTCTTTGAGTAATATGTCTTCAGGACAGAGGCCATAACAGGGGCCTGGACATGATCTACAGTGACACTGGCCCCCGTTAGCCCCCTTCTAGAACCACCCATGATCAATGCACACCTTCAGCGACAAACAGGAGCTTTTTCAAGCTGGGCACCGTTTCATTCACAATACCTGTCCCATCAACGAGCAATCAGAATCAGAAATACTTTAATAATTCCAGGGAGACATTACTCTTGTTACATTACTCCATCTGCAGTTTGATATGACACAATTTCATACAATATATATAATTAGGGGGTCCCCGCGTCATCTCACCATCAGGTTGGGGGTCCTTGCCCTGAAGACCCCTGCTTTAGAATGAACCATCAATAGAATTAGTCAATGAACAATTTGTTTATGCTGTAATCCAGCTTTTGGTCAGCAGATGTCGCCCTTTCCCCGGTAACCTTGCTGTCGCAGCTGACAGGCAGCCTCTGTTGTGTTGGAGTAAACCTCTAACTCCACCTTCTCCATTGACAGGCGGCAACACTGAACCTCTGCCTCGCCTCCTCCAAGAAAATCTGCGCTCAGGACTTAACATCCAAAGCCATAAAGGTGAGTAATATGTCTTTAATTCGTCGTTCCTTCTCTAAAAATCCCAGCTGTGTCCGTTATTCTAGCAGGAAACGTCATGATTTCAGTCGTTTAGTGTTACCTGTCCTTTACGCACCACGGCAGGCAGCGGCGCATGCTGGTTTTTTATTTTCCTCCCCTATGAAGCGTCCATTTCAGGTGTGTTTATTGCTTTAATCATTGACTGAGCACATCTATCGGCTTGGTTATGTTTGTGAAGCTGTCAGTCTGCAGCTTCTTTAATAAGACTCCGGTCCGTCAAAGTGGGTTAATGGATCAAGCTTTAGGAGTTTCCTTTTTTTTCTTTATTCTCCACGTCTTTTGCCATATTTCTATTAAAATGCATTTGTTTTCCTTATATTCTGATCTTTAATTTGTTTCTATGAGCTTCATTTGAGGCACTTCCAACATGTCGGTGAGGCGCGCCTGGATTGATGGATCTGCCATCAGTGTTTTCCTCTCTTTGCTGCACATGTTAGCTGAGGATTTATGTATTTTTTTTCCCTCATCATGCATTGCTATGTGACATGTATTAATCCCTTTAGGCAGGCTCTGTAGCAGAAGAGGTCAGAGGTCAGGGGCAGCAACAGATCAGCATCCTTGTTGCAGATTGCCTTCAGCACACAGCTGGATAAAAAAGCTTGGGAATTATGTCCTATGGTGGATATATCTCTTTATATAATGTATATAAACATCTTTTTTTTTTTTTTTTTAGTTTTATGTCAAAATAAACAAGAATTTAAAAAGCTGTCAAATAGCACCAAGATTATGATTACAGGTTTGAAAGTAAGAAAGGTTCAGCCTTTTTAAAACTGAAATTCTTTGAAATTAATTGTATTTATCAGATCACATACTAATAAAAAAAAGCAAGAATTTTTAAAGGAAACAATCACTGAACAATCACTTACACCCCTGATTTTAATCCACCTTGAATTATCATGTTTAGTATGAATTTGTAGCAGATGATTCTATAATGTCTGTTTGGAAACTACAAAAAACCACAGACTATAAGCAAGCATTGAATAAAAAAAAAAATGACATAAAAAGATTGAAAGATAGTTGGTTGACTGCTCAGACAAATGACCGGATGAAATAAGGAATCATTCACACTATGGGATAGGGAATAAAATATTATTTTCCACACTTCTTTTCCTGTTATTAACATAGACTAAACTAACTTAAGAAATTCCAGACTTTCCCAGTTTTTTTAAGAACCCTGCTTTTGCTTTCACCTTGATCTCCTGCGGGGACATTTGTGTTGATTGCAGGGTTGTAGGTTCAAGTCTCAGCTTTAATTTTCAATATCAATGTGTCCTTAACCTGCGTTGCGGTCATGAGGCCCAGTAGTGCCTGTGTGCAGCAGCCTCACCTCTGTCAGTGAGCCCCAGGGCAGCTCTGGCTGCAATGTTGCTTGCCACCATCAGTGTGTATGTGAATGACTAATTTGTAATGTAAAGTGCTTTGTCAAGTCTTCTGACTTGAAAAAGCATTACCGTATATAAGTACAGGCCATTTGGAATTTACTGTAATTTTAACCTACAGGTCAAATTACGAAAAATCAGTGTTATTAACATGTAAGGACATCAATCAGCAACATGTTCATTTTGGAATAAGGACATTTAAGTTAAATTTGTGTGACAAAAGGTCAATAGTGTTGTAACCTCACTTTCTGTTGCATTGAATTATTCTGCAGCTATCAATGAACCAGGGGAACATTTTTGGGGGCTTTTATCAGCTGGGGTTGGTCTTTTTTGGTGGCCTTTAGTTTACTTTTCTGTTATTATCCTTAGCTCATTTTATCTCCAAATGCAGCAAGTTTTGAAAATCTTAACTCATAAATGCTTATAGGGATATTATTTTCAAAACAAAACCTTGTCTCTTCACTGCTGGCACCTGGCATAAAACCAAACATGAAATTTAA